AATCATTTGTCTGATTCACTATATGCCACCAATAAAAAAATGAAATTGTCTGTATGACATTGGACCGCTTGATATACCGTGAGAAAACAATTGGGTGATATAAATCAGGTGCTGAGAAGACTATAGGCTACAACTATACGAACTCATATATTTCGAGTTAATATAAATTATGACACTGAATTAAAAAATTTTAAAAGTTTCCGATGTCTTCTCTTCTATTACAGAATGTGGTTCACAGTCCCGTTTACGTTGTTAATGGTCTAAGTAATAGCTCAAGATAACAATAGAGAGCTTTTGTTTATCCCAACGTTGAAACACAAACAGCATGAATATAAATACAAGAATACAATTCAATACACGGATTAATGAAGAGCTTGTGTACCTCACTATATTATGTAATCAAAACTAGAATATCCACAAATAATATGAAGTTCATTAGGAATACAAAAAAAACTTGAAACATTAATACAACGGTTTTAAGCAAAAATCAAAAGTTGTAAATTAAGGTAAATAAATAATAAAATTTGTTTTTTTTTAAATACATTCGCAAGACACTGAAAATAATGGTTAAACAATATATTGACATATATTGACCCATCATATCGGATCTTGGCTATCGTCTATGCTTTGATGGATGGTAGCGCTATCTTCACAAGTGATGAGAACAATCAATGTTAAAAGTTTGTTTAGCAAAGGCTTCATACGCAATTAAATGATGTATTATATGTGCACAACTGCATGCGGCTTGTTAACACAGCTGTCGTTAACACATGTAAGAATATCGATGAGCCAATTTTGATACTTAGAAACACAGTTACAGTTAGTTCGCCGTGATGCCTGAACAAGAGTTCAGGTATACACTCATCGTTAAAATATAAGTGAAGAACTAATATTAGGAAATTGTATAGAAACTCGTAACGTGAAAATTCTGTAGGCTACTTGTTGTGCGTTGTGTCGCGGCTGTACGTTTAAACATGAACGTTTAACTGATGAACATTAGTTAAAAACTAGCCTTAACAAAATTTGGGTTATGCTTCAGCCTCCACCCCAGAGTCGCTATGTTCGCGTTAGAGTTATTCTGGGTCAGTTGGCCAACTGATCGCAATCAGCGACTAGTCAGAACCTCCTGGCCGACTTTATAGTCTCCTGAGAGTAGGGCAAGAGTTAGCAGAATAAGGACCAGGCTCTTGTAGCTGTCTGATTCGGGGACCGGAATGTAGACCGAAAAGCGGACTTATAGGGGTGCTGGTGGACTATGCTCCCCGAGTCCTAGGCGTTCCTTAGTTCAGAGCCGCCCTCGGCTCTAAATTTTGTTAGGGAAGAAAATTTTAGTGATGAATTTCAGTTCATTGAAACAAAATTACAGAGATTTGCGCTTGTTAATTCGAAGCCCAATTCTTCCACTTTTAAATGATATTTTACATCTAAGAATATATGATGAATACCAAAGAAAGATGAGACTGAATTAGCAGAGGGCGATGAACCGTCATATATTTAGATAAATAAATGTGATATTGTGTAACATCGCCCACTTAAAACTAATTTTTACATCTTGGTAATGCGCCAAACACAGGTTACTTATTTGAGCCTTTATACCATCAATATTGAGGAGTGAATGACATACCGCGGTATCTTATTGAGTAAGTTTTGCACAAGATTTCAAACGTGAGAATTTTTCAAGATGAACCTCGATTGATTAAATTCTAAAAATTGTCTGTAGATTATACTTCATTTTACCGAAGACACTTATATATAAATGAATGATTCGAATTACATTTTTCTCTATTCTATCAAAAGAGTTTAGATGGGCTTCGGTTTTGGCGACTTTCAATTAATCGGCAATATTCTACACTGTTAGAAAAAACGGTGAAAAAACGGTCCCACCGGCGTTTTAGTAGCCGGTCGCCCCGTGAAAATAAACTGTTTCGCCGTTATTATCAAATGTTTTACGGATTTCTAGTGTAAAATTAGAATAAAAACGGCGACGCGATGTTCCTTTTCACGTTCCGACCGGCCACTGAAACGCCGGTAATACCGTTAACGGTAATTTTTCTAACAGTGTATCAATGGTCATTATTGAGTCTTCTCGTGCACTGATTCCATCCCTTAATGTTCTAATAGGAGGTGTCGTCAGGAGCCAATGTCAATCACTAGACAGAACGTTTATAGACCTACGACAATACGAAACCTTTGAATTCGCTATTCGTTTCGTTAAATTATTACCTATTTGAAATTTACCCCAGTTCCTCCGATGATTCGGTGAGCTAATGAAGTCTAATATCTTTCTTCCGTATGTTAATTCTTGCATCATATTGTTTAATATCACGTTAACCTTTTTAACGCATTTTCTCATTTATGAAAAAATGCACTTTTGTGCTCGCCATGTCAGTCTGTCTGTCCGTCTGCCTGTCCGTCCGTGACTTCACGTTTGCGTCGACGAGAAAATGCGCTCTCTGTCACTCGCTGCAGTGAGTACTGAGTTATTTTGTTCTTGTATTACAAATTGTCGTTTGTTTATGTGCAGAAACTCGTGCACCATCAATAAACCTGGTAAAAGTGTTGAATCATCTTATCACTTTCACGAAACTTTTGGGGAAACCTTTGAAGTCATTAATTATTATGCGAGCAAAGAAGTCTTTTATCAATTATCTTATTAATATATATAGAAATGATATAAATTATATAAGTGTAATTCGTTGTAAGTTATAACGCATACGTCACTCGAATCCAATGTTCATTTTGATGAGTGCGTGATGGATGCAGACAATCACTTTAAGAAAGGTGAGGGCCAAGGTGAATCCTTCATATGGCATCATTAGGATCCTTCGATAACTCCTCTAAAAAATTGCAGTCAAATTCTTTGAATAGATCGTGTAGCCGTAGCTTTAACGCATCTCGTGTAGCATTTATTCACCAGAGGCCATGCTTTCAAAATTCGCTAAGTGAACGTAAGTACTTACGCTATATTTTCTTGTCTATGATTGGTGGATTTTGCTTGAAAGGCCGTCAATTATTGGCTGATGAACTTACGATCTCTTAACTTTTTTTTAAAGTATGGGCCCTGAGAAGTTTTCAATATCACTTCGTCACAACGTGTCACTTTTGATCTCGACGCTGTAACACTCACTACACTGTGGTGCGGTGTGGAGACGCAAAATATTTATTTTCATATTATTATGTGTCTGATTTAAATTTTACTGTAGGATTTATTACTGTAGGTGATGGTATCTTAATTCAACTTTGCAGACCTAGATGCAAAATAATTACAACCTTCGGAGGCAACGTCTCGACACTGTACACTGTGGTCCGGTGTGGAGACGCAAAATATTTATTTTCATATTATTTTGTGTCTGATTTAAATATTAGTGTAGGATTTATTACTAAACGTAATGGTATCTTCTAAATTTTTAGACCTAGATGCAAAATAATTACAACTTGTGGCTATGGTTTGAGGCCTGCGTTGGCAAAAATTTGTTTCTGTTTATTGGGATTAAATTTTCCGTGTTCAGTTACCAAAGTTTTAGTAACCATACCTTTGTGTGAATATTATTTTGTCAGGAAACGTGAAGATCGCATAGGATGGTTAGTGACTAACAATAGGCTGAAGAATGAGTTTTGCGGTTACAGATGGTTCCTTTTACATATTTCCTTACTGCGCCTTTTATGCATTCTCTTGAGATCCGAAGTTTGTCTGATTCATCAGGCAGTAATTATCTAAACTCATTCAATGTTACAATCATCACCAGCTCTCTATTTCACTGTTGTTGTGATCAAACCTTTACGTGTAATTCAACGGAAGCCGTTCCATACCTGCCCCTATCAAAAGAAATTATGAGACCTTCAAGACATGTCGTCAAATCCGGTAAAATATATCTGTTGAATCTAGAAATGGTTTATTTCAGGATAATTATTGAAAAAATGAAAATGAAGTTTAGTTATCCCTTGAAAAAAAGCGAATAGCCGTGCAAACGAAGTGTCTTCTTGGACTGTTAGCCTACTGCTACAGCGTTGCAGTAGCACTTTTATTGACTGTTAACCGAATTTTGGAATGTTACCCAACTACTGAAACGGGTGGGACTGTACAGGTATTGAAAAACAACTTGCGGTATCTGGAACAGACGATAAAGCGTGCGCGACTCGTCCCGTTAGGACTGTCATAGACTGTAAACCAATTTGTTGAACTTGATTAACAAAATTTATGACTGTATTTAGCAAATTCTGTCTATCAACCAACTGGTGAAGTATTCCATTCGTCCACCAGTTGCACTCTAGTCTTGACGAGCCATGCGCTGCGACCAGAGACCAGACGGTAGTGGACAGATCCCTACCTACCGGACGCAGATTTTTGCTGCCCTAGCAGGTGAATTTACAGTCTGGAAATATTTATCATTCATTTATATCATTATTGAATGAGCAATCGAACTTAATTATTGATTGAGTCCTTTCAATCGACATCACAAGTCCTTATAAATTGACATTACATAGCTTTCATTGGAAACTTCATGTGGTATTACTTGATCATGTTACTTGAACTTCTTGAGGCAAAAGTATAATATTGAAGTGCTAAGTTAATACTTTATATCATTCTAGTTCTTCTTTTTCGGTTGGAAAAAAAATTCAAGACTCAAGACAGCAGGGAAAATTTTGAAATAAGTTACTTCGAATTCTTAATTGAACTTGCAGTAAAGTTATTCATTCTAAAAATTAGATAATAATAAAAGTCATTCTATTTATTGATTGTGGATTAACCAAATTATTTCTTTACCATAGTTTCAGTTGCAGCGCTGAGTAGCGGAGTCGCCATAGGCTTCAACTCATCGGCTATTGCACAATTAAGTAAAGCAACAAGCACATCTTCTGCATCACAGCAAACACAAAACTTAAACACAACTGATCCTGAGAGACCTTCAACTCGCGCGGTCTCTTTTACTGACAACCTAAAATCTGATAAGATCATTGAAGAAATGTATGTGAATGTTTCACTAAATATCGAATATATCATGCCACTGAGCCAGTGGCAAGTGTCGGTGTATGTAGCCATGCTGTCTGTTGGAGGGCTGCTGGGAGGTCTTGCCAGCGGACCCATTATGAACACCGCTGGGAGACGAGGAGTTCTCCTAGCAACATGCGTTCCTTCCCTGCTGGGCTGGCTCATGACAGGTGAACGTCCTGCTGGGACATGGCTCGGAGAGGGTGATTAAACATTTAAACTCGGATAAATTTACCATGGTAAATGCTATTCGTACCTAGTGGTTTGGGACCAAGATGTCTTCAACTTCAACTTTCAGTCACGAAAGCGTTGATACAAAAATTATTCCACTGTTTGAACCATGAAAGAATCACAAGATTCGCATATCGCTGAATCTTTCTACCTGGTTTTTCTTGTTGACTTATATCCTTTTCTATCATTTTCTATTCTCCCTTGTCAATTTCTAAACTGCAGTTTGTCTCCATATTTCATTTAATATTTTTCATTTTTCTTTTAATTGTCATGCTCAATCACCCAAATAACCCCAAAGTTTTAAAAACCTAATTTAACCCGACATTTAACGACCACTGCAACAGGTTTGGGTTACAACTACGCTATGGCGGTGGCAGGTCGTTTCCTGACAGGTTTGGTGGTCGGGGTGGCGAACGCTGCTGCCGTGACGTACGTGGGGGAGGTGGCGTTCTGTGACGTCAGGGGGGCGATGTGTGAGTACTTTTCTGTATTTTTAAACTAAAACTACTTTTCGGTATTTTTATAAGGAACAAAAACTAATAAATGTGAGTACTTTCCTGTATTTTTAAACTAAAACTAATAAATGTGAGTACTTTTCAGTATTTTTAAACTAAAACTAATAAATGTGAGTACTTTTCAGTATTTTTATAAAGAACTAAAACTAATAAATGTGAGTACTTTTCAGTATTTTTAAACTAAAACTAATATATGTGAGTACTTTTCAGTATTTTTGTAAGGAACTAAAACCCACAAATAGGCAATGAATCAGGATCTGATATTACGCATTGTGGACATGAGGCTTCATCACCCGAGCTAGTATTTAGAACTGTGATGTATGAGAGTTCATTTATATTTTTAGGCGCATATGAGACCCGGTACACATTTATGACATACTACAGTAATGTCGTTAATGTTGTTGCTATTGAATACATTTGGATACGATACGTTCAAAATATGAAGAAATCGTTTTATGGTGTGTTATTATGTGTTATTTAATGATATGTCAACACCCGTTATGTGGATGTCCATCGACTGAGAGACCCGTCAGGCTTATATATTCATGGCAAAATTTTCAGCCAATTATTATACTTTAGATAAAAATAAAGTTGGTGTCTGTGGTGTAAGGTATTCATTCATGTTTTCAACTTAACATAACATAACATAATGATGTCGGCGCTGAAATGTAGGCCTGATGTGGCCTGTCGCCGATTCTTTTCCTTTTCGTGCCTTGTTCATAGATCTAAACTCGTGTCATTTGACCGGATCTTTTCATGACTGACGATAGTTTGAAGTAGCTACTAGACTTCCACCGGGTTCGATAACGGAACTTCTAACTTCTTGCGTCTTTTACTTGATTGTTCAGACCGAGTTATTTAGTTGTCTCAATGGACATTATGCAGTAGACATCATTTCAATCGGCATTATTTTTAATTAAGAGTAATTTAATTTCAGCTCAGATAGAGCCAATCGATGTTGCTTCCCTATTTAAGTAAAACATTGTGCAATGACAATATATGTAGGGAGCTAGAATTTTAAATAATGAATTTTTCATTAAATGTACATAGTTTGCTGAGTACATGAATGTCTGCATCTCATGGCCAAAAACATGTATGTATTTCTTTTGAAGAGCAGCCCTTTAATTTATTTTGTGATTGATATGCCCAATTTCACATCACTTCCTAAAGGAAGACAAGTCAATCGAAGACAATCAAACGCATGTTTTCATCAATAACTGACCAAAACACATTTCAATCCTTGTATTCTGATCATATTCAGTAAGATTCAATTTATATTTGCATTAAAGCGAGCTTCTACGAGCTGATGTTGAATGTGGGGATCTTTCTGGCGATAATGGCGGGAGGCTGGACCCCCCTGAGGTACCTGGCACTGATGTGCGCCTGCCCCGGGGTGGTGGGTGCCCTGCTTACCTTCTTTTGCCACGAGTCTCCCGTGTTCCTGCTCATGAAGAACAGAGAGAGAGAAGCAAGGGCAGCACTGCAGCATTTCCGAGGTATTTATTTTATGTATGTGGATCCTTTTTCATGGGTAATATTTCTGACAAATTCTGGTATCACCTGGGTTTCGACTTTCAGAGGTATTTTATTTTATGTAAAATGATTCTTTTTCATGGGTAATATTTCTGACAAATTCGGGTATCGCCTGGGTTTCGACATTCAGAGGTATTTTATTTTATGTATGTGAATTTTTTTCTTGGGTAATATTTCTGACAAATTCGGGTATCACCTGGGTTTCGACTTTCAGAGGTATTTTATTTTATGTAAAAGGATCCTTTTTTATGAGTAACTGTTCTGACAAATTCGGGTACCGTCTGGGCTTCGGCCGAAGACTCGCTGCACTCGGCCTAAAGTTTTTCTGGGTTAGCTTGGTCTCCCGATCGAAATCAGCTTCTGGACAGAATCTTCTTTCCGATTTTATAGTCGCCTAAGAGTATGAAAAGAGTTGGTTGAGCCGAATCATACCGAACATGGGCCATACTTTCAAAACTCGCTAAGTGAACGTAAGTACTTACGCTCTATTTTCTTGTCTATGATTGGTGGATTTTGCTTGAAAGTCCGTCAATGACTGGCTGATGAACTTACGATCTCTTAACTTTTTTTGAAAGTATAGGCCCTGAGCTCCTGATTACGTGCGTAGGCGGAACCTATTTCAGAGTCGATCCCGTATCTAAATTTTGTTAGGGATAGGCGACAAATGATCATGAAGAATAGAAACGAGAAGCGAATGCAATGCTGCAGCATTTTAGAGGTATTTCATTTTCAAAATGCTCATTCCTGTTCGTGTATAATATAGATAACTGGGCGAAAAATGATTAGGTCAACGTTATTGATTTTCTAGACAGCGGATTTGAATTTTATTATACTAAGAAATGAATTAGGAGAAAGTAGGAAGATAAATTTTTCTGCATATATCTGTACTTAGTTGCTTTGACTCAACGAGATTACATTTATTTTCCATCTCATTATAATAACAAAAATATGTGCAAGACATGGAGGTTGTTTGCAGGCCCGCATTTCAATATCGATGAAGAGCTGAAAGGGATTAAGTCATCGCTTGAAAAGAATTCAACAGGCAAGAAAAGAATGATGTCTGATTTGAAGAAACCAAGAGTTTACAAGCCGTTGATGATCGTTCTTCTCGTGGCACTGTTCTATAAACTGACTGGGTGCGAAATGGTCCAATCTTACATCGACATTATGTTTGAGGTAAGCAACTTAATTGAAAAGTCTTTGCTTCATATGGTTCAGACTGCTCCATTTAACCCTTTTTTTTCAAAAACTGAACTTGAAATGCTTGTCCATATTTAAATACTTATCAAAACTGTCATTTCAGTTACTAGCCACGATGATCACGATGATGTTCATCTTAATTTACAAGTCCATGGAATGCTATTTTTTTTTCTTGTGTCTAGCTTCATTCCCGTAGACCTTGTGTGCGAACCAAAACAGAATGAACTTTTTCAATACAGGAATACAAAAAGATACAATTTCTCTATTAATTGCAGGAATCTTTGACGGGTTTATCGTTGAATTTGAGTAGAAACTTGGTGGTTGCGGCAGTTTTGGTATCAGGAGTGGCAGTCACCGTAATGGTGGATAAAGTTGGCAGGAAAACGCTACTTGTTATCTCGGCTGCCATCATGGCGCCTTGCCTTGGTGAGTGAGGCGTCGGTGACGCTCATTGTGATCTCGGCTGCCATCATGGCGCCTTGCCTTGGTGAGTGAGGCGTCGGTGACGCTCCTTGTAATCTCGGCTGCCATCATGGCGCCTTGCCTTGGTGAGTGAGGCGTCGGTATCGCTCTTTGTAATCTCGGCTGCCATCATGGCGCCTTGCCTTGGTGAGTGAGGCGTCGGTGACGCTCCTTGTAATCTCGGCTGCCATCATGGCGCCTTGCCTTGGTGAGTAAAGACATGAGTAAGGCATGGTGAGAATGTGCATAATTCATCGTGTGTGAGAGTAATGCTGATGGATGAGGCAATGGGATTGAAGGAACTAGGAATCTCAGGGTAATTTCGTATTAATGTCAAAAATTGGGGATGCGAATTTATTTTTCCACGTACTAATATTATTCGTAGTATGTTGATTTCATTGGAAATACCAGTAGATGACTTACAAAATGATACTAAACGTGTTTTCTTCGTCCTTTATAGTTATGTTGAAATTACCGTTTCCATGATGCTCTTTGCTGCATAATTTCATCCCATCCAATCCGAGCGGTTTGTATTTTTATTATTGTTCAAAAAATCAGGAATCAGATTATTAACATTAAGTTTTGTGGTATACTAGGACAATGAAACTTGAACGATTAAAGTGTATTGCTGGAAATTTCGGGGTGTTTTGTATTAAATGCCGGTCTGCATTGCAGGAAGTGTAGGAGAGTTTTGTATTTAGAGCCGGTCTGTATGGCAGGAAGTGTAGGAGAGTTTTGTATTAAGTGCCGGTCTGTATGGCAGGAAGTGTAGGAGAGTTTTGTATTAAGTGCCGGTCTGTATTCCAGAAAGTGTAGGAGAGTTTTGTATTAAGTGCCGGTCTGTATGACAGGAAGTGAAGGAGAGTTTTGAATTAAGTACCGGTCTGTATGGCAGGAAGTGTAGGAGAGTTTTGTATTAAGTGCCGGTCTGTATGGCAGGAAGTGAAGGAGAGTTTTGTATTAAGTGCCGGTCTGTATGGCAGGAAGTGAAGGAGAGTTTTGTATTAAGTGCCAGTCTGTATTGCAGGAAGTGTAGGAGAGTTTTGTATTAAGTAGCGGTCTGTATTCCAGGAAGTTTCAGGGTGTTTTGTATTAAGTGTCGGTCTGTATTTTGTATTAATTGCCGGTCTGTATTACAGGAAGTGTAGGAGTGTATTTCTACCTGCTACACCTCGACCTCTGCTACACCACAACCACACTCTGGTGGCTACCGATCACCACGTTGACCATATACATGTTCGCCTTCGGTCTTGGCTTCGGTGGTATAACCTTCGTGCTGATGTGTAAGACAGTAATTCTGAGCTGAGCAGAATAAACAATTATTTAATTGGTAATTGAGGGTAGATTGAGAATATGACGGTAGCTGAAGATATAGTTAAGGAGAGGCCATGGACAAAAATGAATGACTGATTAATACAAATTTGAACTGTTACCAATTTGATGTTACCTGAGCAGTTACCGAATTGGATGGCTGCTCCGGTCAAAGAAATTTGCATTTTTTGTTTGCAAAAATGAACTGCAACCAAACTGATCATGAAGTAAATATTTTTTCTTTCTTTTCTACGAGCCAAATAAAGTTTCTACGATCAGATAACATAAATTCTCATAGATTCTACAATGGTCGAGTAGTGAAAGTCTAAATTACCTTATGCATTGTAATGTAGTTTATTAAGTGTGAACTATCTAACTCTCCTCAGCCGAGATGATGTGTGGTGAATATCAGGGTCTGGCGTCCGGTCTGTCCGTGAGCGTCCTGTGGGGTCTGTCATTCCTCACACTACTCACGAACCATGCCCTGCTTGTGAGTAACTTGCCATTATTCACTAACCATGCCTTCCTTGTGAGTAACTTGTCATTCCTAACGAAACATGCCCTCTTTGTGAGTAACCCCTCATTCCTTACGCACCATGCCATCCTTGTGAGTAGCTTCTCATTCCTTACGCTCCTCACAAGCCATACCCTCCTTGTGAGTAACTTGTCATTCCTAGAGCTCCTCACGAGCCATGCCCTCCTTGTGAGTAACTTGTCATTCCTTATATAATAACCCCTCTCATTCCAGCTATATATAATAACCCCTCTCATTCCAGCTAAATATAATAACCCCTCTTATTCCAGCTATATATAATAATCCCTCTTATTCCAGTTAACTATAATAATCCCTATTATTCAAGCTATATATAATAATCCCTGTCATTCCAGCTATATATAATAAAACCTCTTATTCCAGCTAAACATAAAAATCCCTCTCATTCCAGATAAATAAAATAATCCATCAAATTCAAACTAATGCCAAGGCGTATGATCGAGGATCCCGCGCTCCACATTGAATAATATATTCATTGAATAAATTTAGTGACGAAATAACATTACCATGTGCAGGCAGCCATAGGAATGCACGGCGTGTACTTTCTGTACTCGACTTTCTGTGTGCTGGCGCTGATCTTCTCCGCTACCCTCGTCGTCGAAACCAAGGGCAGGACGATGCACGAGATAACTTCCCTCTTTGATGACGAACATGGCACTGCATCTCAGTATGGTGCACTGTGAAGTAAATGGCAAGACGATGCACGAGAACTTCCCTCTTTGACGACGAACATGGCACTGCATCGCAGTATGGTGCACTGTGAAGTAAATGGCAAGACTATACACGGAAAAATCACACTTTTATCATTACAGAAAAATTGTGGTATTTTATAATGAATTTATATAATATTGGCGAAATATTGTATGTTAAAAATCGTTACAGCACTTGATGAAACGTCGAAATTCATGAGAGATAGAGTTGGCTTAGATGCAGAGGCGCTGAATGAAGAAGTATTGGTGACAAACTATAGCACTAGTTACAAAATAAGCGCTGAAAATAATTCATATTATAAGTCTGCGTCGGAACAATAACAAACAAGTTTTCATAAATACTAGCTATTAATTACTGGAGTTTTACTCTTAAAGGTTCTTAATATTCCTTTAACCGTTTGAGCAAAATTCTCGAATTCGAAATAAAAAAAAATGTTATTATTCTATGTTATCTTTTTTTAATAATATTATTGGCACGAGAGTTCTCGCGTTGCGGAGGCCGGGAACTTATGTTGAGATTGGTGTGACGCTGGTCGCTCATGCCTATTTCGATTTCTGTGTGTATAAGGTATGATATGTAGTAAGATTCTGAATTTATAGCTTCATAGTCTAATAAGTTATATCATCAATATAATGAAATGTGCCCGTTTTCACCACTAAATGTTTGCCTTTTTAAAACATGTAACTCTGAGTCATCTTCAAAGCAGTGATACTGGGGCCATACTTTCAAAACTCGCTAAGTGAACGTAAGTACTTACGCTCTATTTTCTTGTCTATGATTGGTGGATTTTGCTTGAAAGGCCGTCAATGATTGGCTGATGAACTTACGATCTCTTAACCGTTTTTGAAAGTGTAGGCCCTGAGCAATAACTTTTTAAAAGCTCGTATGCCCGTGGCACTCCATCTGGAAATTTTTTTTTTTTTTTTTTGATTCGCAATAGAAGAACATGAGAAGTAATCATACATGACATAATGCCAGAATAAACAGTTGATTAAAACACATATTTATTACATCATGTATCGATCTGAAAACGTTGGCCTAGTCCATTCCAGCTTCTAACATTTTCACTTTTATTTATACATTTCCTTATCGTCTTTTTTTTTCTATAAAAGCCCACGTGCGTATTTTGCTCTTTACATTTTATATAACTCTCACATTCCAGCTTAAAACAATAATAAATTAACTCATTTGATTGCATTAATTTTTACAGTAACAAGTCAAGTGTAGTCACCACGCCTGCCTCTCCTGTCCTCAATGATGATTTGTGAGTTAGTTCTTATAACGACAAGTCAAGTGTAGTCACCACGCCTACCTCTCCTGTCCTCAATGATGATTTGTGAGTTAGTTCTTGCAACAACAAGTCAAGTGTAGTCACCAGACCTACCTCTCCTGTCCTCAATAATGATTTGTTAGTTAGTTCTTGCAACAACAAGTCAAGTGTAGTCACCAGGCCTACCTCTCCTGTCCTCAATGATGATTTGTTAGTTAGTTCTTGCAACAACAAGTCAAGTGTAGTCACCAGGCCTACCTCTCCTGTACTCAATGATGATTTGTGAGTTAGTTCTTGCAACAACAAGTCACGTGTAGTCACCAGACCTACCTCTCCTGTCCTCAATGATGATTTGTGAGTTAGTTCTTACAACGACAAGACAAGTGTAGTCACCACGCCTACCTCTCCTGTCGTCAATGATAATTTACCACTTAGTTCTTTAGCGGCAAGTTAAATCAAGTCACCAGGCCTGTCTCTCCAGCCCGCTCTGAACAACGCTCTGTTAACTAACCGAGTAATTCAATTTATGTACCCACGAGGCCTTCCATGTCATTTCATAGTCCGACTTGTACGGAAAAGTGACTACAGTAGTTTGCCTTGACTATCCTGTATATCATTTCCAATGCACTCTTTAAATAGTCACTAAGAAATATTTTTAATACACGGCATCGCCATATTTTCTCTAATGGTTAAGTTTTCTCCGTTTATACATTAATTATTAATAAGAATTTACATCAACATTATTACATTTTCTACGAAAAAGAATGTCATTTTCTTTATAGAATCAATTACGTACATGACTGAGATGTCATGCACACTACTAAAATTGTCTTTTTCGTAATACTGTAATTTCAGAAACTGGAAATTAATAATTTTCTGACGAGTTCGATACTATGTTTAAATGAAAAAGTATAGTGCAAATGTAGTTTTATTGAAGAAATCAATATGAAAATATTTCAACAGAAGATAATAATTTAGGTCCATAAAGAAAACATCTAATGTTTACAAAGTTGCTTAAACAATGCACATTAAAATCTTGAAACGATGCAAAGTTTGACAACGTGGAGACAAAGTTGCCAGAAAGTAGCACTATTGGTTACTTGACTGTGAAACGGTCGAGTTTGAAAAGCGTTTGATGTGGTTTCTAAGGTAAAATATAACTGAATAAGTCATAAATTTCCATGCCAAATTCTTTTTGCTGTTAATAAAAAGGAGTTATTATAAACATTCAAAAAATCATCAAAAATCCAAATTCAACACATCAGAGATACGTCTCTGTGGGGTTCGCACTGGTGCAGCAGCATCACTCTCCAGTGCATAGATTAAGCACCAAATGCAACGGCGTAAGCTGCATCACTCTCCGGTGCAAAGATTAAGCACCAAGTGCACCGGCGTACCATTGCGCACTCCTTGCTCGGTGAGCGTGAGGTCGTCTAGCAGCTCCGTATCACGCACCAGTAGCCGCTGTTGGTGCGCCGGCACTCCCAACCGGTGCCACAACTGCAGCTTCAGCGCCCGCACCGGCCAGTGCAGCACCACTGGTACCTGATCAATACGGAATTTTAAAATTATACACAATTTTTAATTTCAAGCAGGTTTCATTGAAGACCAGAGAATTTGTTTTATTCGCAATTTTCTTATTAGTTTTTTCAATATATCGAACATTATTTTTAGTTTGAACTGGCAAATTCTCTGGTCTTCAATGAAACCTGCTTGAAAGAAGAAATTCTGCCAACCTATACTAATTTTTAATTTATGCAAGATAGACTTATGATCAATACGGAATTGTATAATTATACAAATGTTACACTTTATGTAAGATAAACTTAATGTTTGGAAGTTTTCAAAGAATAAAATGATATGTTTTTGCTTCTCAGGTTTATTAGAACTTAAAACAGGGATCAAGTTTTGAAGAAAAATAATTAAACGTAAATAGTTTCTTTTTATATTAGTTAGTCTTACACGTATACGCGGTCATAGATTGAAGAATGGTCAGTAATAGATAGAAAACTCAAATCAAACGAACATTAGTGGTATCTTCCAAAATTATGTCAGAATTATTGAAAAACGCTATTAAATCCTGAAACAAATTAATCATTGTTTAATCAGATATAAAATTAAAATATTGTTAACTGCACGAAGCTGTTAAATCTTTACGTGGCATCCTTTGATTCGTGTATTCAAATTTTTAGAGCTTAGTTCACTGCACAAGACTATCAGACGTCACTTATTTGTCGTTCACCTCCGTAAGCACAAATATGTTCACTTCGAGGAATACTGAATTCACTTTCAATAAACCAACTTTGATCTCCTTAATTATTTTCACTCCCCGGAATTTTCTATTCTTCTATATAATTCTTAGGCAACCGATAACGCCGTGTGATAGTTTACCTCATGTTGGCTGCCGATGGGGAGAATGAGCGTGATCTTCATTGATACGCCTTCGAGTGTTATACTTCTTCAAAATAAGGAGTGTATTCGTCCGATTAAATGCACAGTCACTCGGAAAAAACGCAGTTGCAAATTTTCAAGAACGACGGGAGGTGAAAGTTCTTGTAGTTAGCAGAGTATTATGGATACCGTCGCTTAAACGTTACTTTAGGTAGTCGTTATTACGTTTAAAAATCATAATATTACAAAAAATTAGTGTAGCTAAATTCCTGCTATTTGAACTTTTAAATCCTAAAAAAATTTGAATTCGCCAAGTTCCAATGATCAATAAGAGAATAATTTTTACTGAAAATTACTCTTTCACCTTAAACTAAACCTACTATGATATTCTTCAATAAAGCAATTTTCACTTTCAACTCACGCCGCTAAGATTTTTTATTGAAAGAGTTATGCTATGTGAATCGAAAACCAATATTTTTGAAGACAATCGTTTTATTTGTTAGTTCATTTAGGCCGCTATAGTATTTTTATTTCGTTATCGACCGTATTCAATTCGGTTCATGTTAGTTGAGACTGAGGCATCAGTTTTATACGTCAGTGGTATTGCGTTAAGTAAATTAAATTTCACGCTCTGACAGCTTGATTAATATTTTTGTTTCGTTGCTTTTCGGCCACATCGACAAGTTTGCGATATATTCTCGGTCATTGACTTGATTGAATTTGACTCTATTTTATTCAGAAAATAATTGATCCAACACATCGTTCAAAACATGTTCCGGGTACACTAATCTCACAGAATACCTTAAAATAAAAATATAACTCAGTACTCACTGCAGTGAGTGACAAAGAGCGCATTTTCTCAAAATCGACGAAAACGTGAAGTCACGGACAGACGGACAGACGGACATGACGAGCACAATAGGGCATTTTCTCCATAAATGAGAAAATGCGCTAAATAATAACTTACCTTTGCCTTTTGCTTTGTTACTTTACTATTATTAACTAAAATATCACCGTGTTGGTGGACCACTCAGGTTAGAGTACAGGTTCATTCTTAATATTAATTCTGCTGTTAATGCTATTAATGCTATTTTTAGCGCATTTTCTCATTTATGAAAAAAATGCACTATTGTGCTCGCCATGTCCGTCTGTCCGTCCGTGACCTCAAGTTTTCGTCGACGAGAAAATGCGCTCTCTGTCACTCACTGCAGTGAGTACTGAGTTATATTTTTTCAATCTGTTGCATCGTCAGGAATCATTTTTCCTTTCCAGTCCACTCTAGCTTCCAAAGTAAAATTACTGATTCAATTATTGATAAGTATTCTT